TCTAGCCACCACTTGCTTACACATTCACTGAAAAACATTCTGGGGTGATCTGGGCAAAGTTATGATGTTTGCCAACCTGCTAACAGCTCACACAGAACTGTTCCTGGGGTCATCTAGTCTTTAAGCGAAGGTTTTATGTTACTGAGTACTAGACAGACTAGTTTCTGTTTTCCAGCATGTGTGTGAATCAATGATGAGAACATCCTGAGGCGTGTGTTTGCAGATGTTCTTAAACGTGTGACTGACTGGGGAACGTTCTGGGGTGATTCAACCTGATAACAGTTAGTGTTTTGTCCAGTGTGAGTCCGACTCAAGGATGAGTACATCGTATGATATCATGACTCATGGGCAAGTGTTTGCACTGAAACCTGAATCATGAGTCCACCAAAACTTCATTCATTTCATGAGACCTTCAGTACAACATTTCCTTAACTGTTCAAACCCGGTTTGACTTACGTTTCAAACAACACACATGTTTGTGACTCGACAAAAGCCATCCCAGTGACAAGTCACCTTCTTCAAAGGCGGCGCCGGTGGAAATGCATGGACTGGTCCAGGCGGTGCATTGGGAGCACGAACACTCCAGCTGTGGCTCGCGGGGTCCGACACGGCCGGTGCGCAGGCAAAGGTGCTCAATGTAGCTTTCCTGGGCGGTCGGCGGTCATTCAGTCACATGTCCACATTTAACCATCGTGAGAGATTAAGTTCAAAAGATTCACTCCCGCGAATAGCATAGTCAATGAAAACCCTGCGCTAATCGAATCCTACAAGCCAGAGTCAAATGAAACAACATGTTAACCTTTTGAGCCAAAGGTCCACTCATGATCTTCTTGAGGCATCAGCTCCAGATAGGTGGTGACTGCTTGGTTTGCCATCTCAACAAATCTGTCCACATCCATGCTGTGGTTTCGAAGGATTCTCACCAAAGCATCTGTCCTTAATTAAGGCAGTCTGCTACAACAATAACAAAAGAAAACTGCGTTAGCAGCGACATCAATATGACAAAATGCCAAAACTTAAACCTTGACATTGTTGAACCCAAGCTTCTTCGAGATCTCCTCATTGAGGAAAGCCTCAGCCGTCCTGGCATCCTCATTGGCCTTGCTGGACAGCTTCTCCATCACCACAAGGACATCGATGCCACAAGCCTGGGCCCACGCTGGGAGAATATCAGCAAACCTATCACTTTCACACCTAACGGACACTTGCAACTTATTAGACAACACAACAACTTAGACAACAGGATTGGAGGGCAGCCAGTCTAGGCGCGGCATACATATCAAGTAACAAGAATACAATCCAAACCCCACTAAATTAAGCCTACTCGTCTCAAACATGGTTGAAACAATGTTCCTCATCAGTTCCAAGATTCCGTCAACAGGCCCCACAGCAAAGCGCAGACTGCACCTGTCCGATGCCACCCACTGAGGCATGAAATCCTGAGACGCAGGAGGTTGGAGGTGGTGAGTTTCTCACTTCGTTCAACTCTCGAACATATTTATCTATTTGGCAAAGAGTATATCAATCTGAGACGAATGAATTATCTTGACCCAAGCAGGACGACACAGTCACTAAAATCTAACCTGACTTTGGACTCAATTCCTATATAGAGGTTGACTGATCATCGCCAAGGCTCCGAATCAGGTTGGCTGGCTTCTCCAAGATTTTGTTCAGTGCATACGACATGTTCGAATGCTTGTACACCTCAGGCCACAAGGTTGTCACAGCACAACTGTCGCTTAAGTTCAACTCCTCATATAACCGGAAACAAATAGATAAACAATCATTAAGAACCCTCAGAGTAACAAGAAGGGCAAAGGTTGCAATTCTACTTTGTTGGCTAAAGGCAACCAAGCTTCTGATGCCTGAGTCACCTGGGTAAAGCCAGATGACTTTGGATAGTCACCGCCAGTGTCCTTTCCCTTGCCCTTCTTGTGCTTTCCCTTGCCCTTCTTGCCGCCCTTGCTATCATAGTTCCTGAGTTCACTGAGTTCACACATCATGTCATGGCAATGTTGGAACCTTGCGCCACTTTAACTTTGGTGAACTAAATAAACATTGGAGCCAATGCTTGGCCAAACAACAAACTTCAAAATGTTTACAGAGCTGTTGAACCCCAGGCAAAGGCACGGAAGCAAGACCAACAGGTCATGTTGCACCGATGAAATCGAGCTCCACCGGGTTGAAGTGATCCAGGACTCCTTCGGCACTCCAAGGATCACCACCCTTCCTGGCCATTGACACCAATGGCCCGATCTCAATGGAACGAAGCCAATTTCATTTCCATTCACCTCAGTCATCGTCCCCATGTGATCCAACCCCTGAACCCAACAGCTGAATACAGCTGACCAATCTGAGTTACTGCCAACTTGATTCCAAACTGAGTTAATGATCTAACTTGATTCCAGCTTAGCAAACTTGATTCCAACCAAATCTGAGTTAATTACTGACCAATCTGAGTTACTGCCATCTGAGTTTAGGTGGCACCAACAGCCAAAACAAGCCGCGCACAAACATGTAACAGCACTCCAATAGTCTGACACGAACAGCCGACGACGTATGAACTGAACACCAAGATTCTGCTCCCGCTGCCGCTGCAACGACGTCTGCCGCCGAAGTCGCCATCCCCAGTGAAGCCGAGGCAAAGGTTGTCCCTGAATCTGAATGGACGAAACTTGACTGGTTGAATATAAGGATACCATCATGTTACAACGTCACTTCAACTATGAAGAAAGTAAAGGCAACCTAGCCCGACTGTGGATTCCACTTTGTTCGCAACTTCCTTTTGACAAGGTGTTAGTAGGTGCAGATGCTTAACCATTCCAAGTTGCAATTCAATCTCGGACTTGCAAGATTTCAAGATCCAGCCGTTGACGTTCTTGAAGTACTGTGGATCTGTCTCCAACTTCTCCAGCACAAATTTCCTTACAGTGCCATCCAAAAACCAACGGGTTTACTTGAGTTTGACGCGCACTTTGACAGTGGTTTGCGCACTAGCCTTCCTCAACGGTTTGCTAAACCATATATAGATAGACTTTCATGTCAACCCTGTTTAAACAGTTTTACATGTAACTGTGTTAGCTTCATTCATTTACTTTATCTGCTGGTTTCAAGTGACAACAACTGACAACAGCTGACAAGATAGATCGCCTGACAAATGATTCAAATTCATCAGCCATGCCACCAGAGCTCCACTGCTTTGGATTTGTCCAGCTTCCAAAGCAAGTACAATGCCTCAACTCATGAAATGATGAGTGTACTATGTCCAGCTGGACTACTGCTTTTTGTTTGTCTCATGGGTGTGCAGACAAAACGGGGAACCCTCCGTGAACTTCATAGGCTCAGAGTCACTGTTTCACCCCTCCATTTGATTTTCTCCAAGCCACTTGTTGCGCTTTCCTGGCGGACAATGGCGTTGGACTTTTTAAACCAAAACACTGCCAGTCAAAGGCATCATTTATGGTGAAACAAAAGCTGAACAAGTTGACAATGATGATACACATCATATGTGATTAATTAGATACTTGCACTGGCTCACACACAAGTTCATGTCACACAATGTTTGCTGCTGTCCTGTCAGCATTTACAGTTACAGGTGAATGTTTGGTACTTTGATTTCAAGCCAAGACACTTGCTGATCTTCTCAAGCCCTTCCCACTTCAGGATGGACACAGCAACCGATCGCTCCATTCAATGGCAATCGAATGAATTGGATGTGTCAGTGACACCTGAATTGAATGCTAAATTGTAGTTGAATTGAGTGCTACTAATAATGGTTAATGCCTCTTGATGGTCTCAGTGTCATGGTCTCAGTGATGTAAAAGTGAACACTTCAAGTTTTCTTACTGTAATTAATTTGCAGTTTAAAATCTTGCTGCCATGTTAATTCAATGTAGAGTCTTCGAGGCTTCTGGATCTGGAGGCCAGCTAATACTTTATTGACCCGAGAACATGTTATCTTGGCTTGTGGCATGCCTCCATCGCAGTGACGCTCAAAAATTGCAGGCATCAATCATGTCATGCAATCTCGCACTGTGCGCTGACCAAACACAAAAAACAAACAGTGAAACAAGCATAGAAACAAGCCTATCTAAACCACTTGATCTTCAATGAATGACCAACAACTGACAGACTGACTCAAAGACAAGCCCATCCTGACCTTGACGTGCACTTCAGGGCAGCCAGCAAAGGTCCCGCCTCAGGACATAGAAGAATGCGCGTCATAAATCAACTGCCCATTCAAAAAGTCCATTCAACATCGCATCAATTGTCCATGAGCATTCTAAACATGCTATTCAACATTTAGGTGTTGCCCATTCAACTGACAGATATCAGAACTAAGCCCCCAACAAAACAAAACAGCAGGTCGTAGACCACGAAGAAACCAACATAAGCCGGCCGGCAGCGATGAACAACTGACAATAATAAGACTGATACAATCAAGACATGACAGGGGAAACCATCAGTCACTCCACAAACAACTGATAACAACTGATATGACATGAAAACAGCTGACTGACTAAGACTATTGTCATTAATTGCTGCTGTTATTCGATTACCACTTGGTTACTTTCGGGAACCCAGCTTTTAGAGTTAGCCGCAAAATACCAGGAGTTTTGTAAACTCTGGGGATTATTTACCTGGAAAGAAACCTAACATAAGCAACCTTTTTTGTGTGGATCCTGGACCCATGCCACTGACTTCATTGCATTGGATTCTATGCACATGGTTATGGCCGAAAAATGTCGACAAAGCCCACGGGTGCCTCCAACGATTCCCAACGTATGTCTGACGAGTATGGTACGATGTGTATGTTCTAAGGTCTTGCATAGTATCGCATATTTCTGCATTATATTGCATTTATTTGCATTTATTTGCATTTTTTTGCATATTTTTTTTTAAATCGAGATTTTTTGAGATGAAAAAAACTCCTTCCCTTCTAAACCACCTCCAATCTATCCCACCGTTTGACTTTGGTGATTGATAGCTAGTCTTCGCTCCTGGAAGGCGATCACTTCCATCTCGTCTGCGGCAGCAGAGTTTTCCTCCTGGAAGGACAAGCTTTCTACGGTGTCAGGGCCTGATCCGTGAACTGAGTACACGTCGACCTAGTTAACATTTAATGCGAGGGAAGTGATGACCAGCTGGCACTAATTCAAACCACATAAAGGCAAGTTCCCTCGAGTTGTGCTATATCGCGCCCACAGAAACAGTAGCCTGCCAAGGCCACGAAACTTGGTGGACGCATTGGTGTCAGATTTGGAAGGGCCTCTCAAGCACTTGATCAGCTTACGGGGAAAGCTTGAGAAGACTTCGAAGGTGTCTGAGGCCAGGCTAGATACATCGATCGATTGTTCAGTCAAAAAGAGTAAAATTCTAGCAATACGTACGTGAATGGGTTTCACATGTACATGACATGCTGCGCATGCAGGTTGAAAAGCTTATTGTGGACTATGACACTTCAATCGAGAAGTACAAGGTGGCACTCGCCAATTGCAGGAAGCACGCTACTTGCCTGAACTGGGCGCCGCAGTCCTGGCAGACGTCATCAGTTCCAAAACCCTGTAGGTCAGGCCTCACATTTGCCGAAGTCGCTGGTTCAAAGGGTGCAGCATTAAGATCGATCGAAGTATGGGACTAGTACGACTTCTAGATATATGATCTTCACCAAATCACATGCATTATAACGAAAACATATTCAGGACATCCAGTACTGCTAGCATGCGCAGATTAAATGATTTTTTCATGAGATCGTTCTTTCCATGTGTGCGAAGTGGCCATGCACCGCTTTTTATCTGAGCTTTGGTCGACCTCAGAATGCCCAATCCAGCCAGGCAAGAATAGGCCTGGCACCGGGAGTGGAAGTTTCTCTCGAGAAACCAGCGCAAACACACCGCCTATATGTATACGTTCATTGGCTTCGAGGTTGGTTTGCCCTTCAGATTCTGATTCTGATGTTGATGAACCCGCTTGCAAAAAAGCACGTGGAGAAACAGTCGACTCCACCTCCCATGTCATACTGCCTGTGCATAGCCAGTGGCCCCAGCCCCAACATGGTCCCGAACGTCAGTTTTCAGGGGCTGCAATGTGTGGCGTGCCCAGACACACTGCTTGCAAGAGTCGTGCATCACCGCGCGTGCATGTTCGTGGTCGTATACGCAGTCCAGCACTTCCTTGTGATCGGCAAGTTGCACATCGGCATGATGGACAAACTAGTGTATGCTTGTTGCCTGATGGGTTGCGCTTTGGATCGATGTGCTTGGTTGGAAAGCGGAGCTACATTATACCTAAAGCTTCGAGTTTGGACCCATGTCTGCTGGCCAGTTTCCAGGTACAAGAGCTAGCACTTTTGTCATGCCAAAACATCAGGTTGAGGTTGCTCTTGGAAAGGAACGCACGCTACTTCTCGGCTATTTGGACCCATTGTGTTCGTCAGGTTGAAGGGCTGATACATGACTTTGGGGACCAAGTGTGTGTGTTCAAAATTGGCATTAGCTCTAATGTTGCTTACAGAATGGCCAAGTACAAGGAATCCAACTTCGTTGAGATGAGATTAATTCATTGCTCTGATGATGCCCAGCTTATAGCTGTGCTTGAGGTTTTGTTAGTTGCACAATTCAAAGAGATGTCAGGCTGCCGGAACGTCGCCAAAGGTGGTGATGGCAGTATGGTGGCCCGAGATCCTTAGGGACCATACTTCCTGTACTGCGTGGGTGCTAGGGCAGATGGGAAGGTAGCCATAGGCTCATAGGACCGGTACCTCGAGAAAGGCTGCGCTCATACCTGTAACCTAGCTAGGTGCTGTGAGACTTTTTTTTAAGGCCGGCCTCCATGTTATAACTAGTGTATACGTTTGCACCTCTCAATCGACCCATTTCGATCCAAGGTTCCCAAGAAGAAGAAGGATGACAAGGTCGACAAGGATGCAAAAGGGGCTGGCAGTAAGTAGTGCTGGACAGCTGAAAGAGGAGTGACTGGGTTTGGGGTACTGCAAAATGGCAGTACATGAGTTGGCCATGGGCAAGGACAAGCTGGACATCAGCTAGTCGTGAGATCTGGATGGATCTTTTTTGACAGTAGTGTTACTAGGAGCATGCAGGCACATAGGAGGGGTGGAGCTCTATGATATTTTAAAGTTAAGCTGAACATCGTGCTCATGTGTTCAACATTGTTCAACAAGGATTTCAGTGTCCATCCTTTGGTGCCACTTTGCTATTCGCAGTCAGATTTGATGACGCAAACTTGAACATCAGCCGATATCGATATGGTGGGAAAAAGCGCAATTCAACTCCTGTTTAAAAATTTTTGAATAATATGTGCACTGCAATGGTGAAAACTTGTGTTGCGATCGAGTCTGTAAATTCGGCGAGTTGTGCACTCCAGGTACATCAGACACATCCTTCTTGGATCACCTGGAAGACAGAGTGGGCAACGGTGTCAGGGCCCTGTATCGAATGGTCACATGCACACCATGGCCAGTTTGGTCATGATCAGGTCGAGTCTATTCCCAAACGTTTGATTGAGGAAAGCGTTGCGCAAGCTTTGAGTTCTGCACGTCAGGCCACCAAGGCAAGAGTCGACTGTATATATCGTGTTCAGGCTAGGTGAGACTAAGAGTCAACATATTAATTGCTGTCGACGTCTGTGCAGGAAGCAGTTGCCCATGGATCCTCACTGAGCCGTGGAACTGCTCGATTGAATCGTATTGGAGAGGCAAGTAATTGGTCCCGTGATTTTTGGAAGAGAGCTGACTTGCCATGCGCAGCTAAGTTGGATTCTGTTTAATTTGTTTTGCCATCCAGCTGTCACTGTGTTGTTGTATTTTGCAGAGATCAAGCTAGAGTGATCGATTTAGACACAAGTCGATCTGCCCAAGGATCTTGTGCACGTGGAAGCGCCAGTTTATCTGGATGGTGGAGACGAGATCGGCATGAAACAAATACCTGTTTGCAATATTTTGACATTGGTTCAATACCTCTTCGACAAACACGGTGTGGTCTGCCCACAACCTGACGTGTCAAAATTCTGGGACCATGCACACCGCTTCTTTGGATGGAGGGATCACCCGGCCATAGCTGCAGGCATACATGTGCCATTAGGACTTCATGGGGACGAATGTCGATATACCTCCAGTGCTGGCCTGGTTGAGAAAATTGTCGCGCTATCATTGAATGTGCTGCTTTGGTGCCCAAAGAGCTCAAGGAACTCACGGTTTGTACTTGTAGCCATTCGTGAGAGTGAATGTGTTGGACGACGCACAATGTTTCCAATCCTGGAGTATGTGCAATGGGCATTCAATATACTATTTACTGGCATCAAGCCAAGTACTGGTTTTTGTGGGGGTGAGCTGCCCAAAAACCTGGACAGAACTGCAGGGAGTCTCCACCTGTGTCGCAGGAAACACAAGTTCTGTCTAGTGGAGGTACGCGGAGATTGGGCATGGCACTGTTTCCTGCTGGCGCTGAAGAATCGATGGACGAGCAAAAACATTTGTTTTCGCTGTCACGCACGATCAGATAGGTCAGAAGCTGCAACGTTGCGGTGTTCCTACCTGGACTTTTCAGACACAGCAGAGTGGATGGAGCATCAAGTCTCCCATGTTGAGTTCATTAATGATATGCTTCACCCTGGCCCTATTTGCACCCTGGATAGTACTAGTGCTGGTGTGAAAGAAATACACGTACATCTTTCTAGCTGTGCATGTTATGACGCTTAGGTCCCTTGTTTGGCATCATCGGTTTCCACCATACAATGGTCCGCTTCTGTTTTGCACACAATGTCTACTTGGGGACATTCCAACGGACAAATGCTGGAGCACTGCGACTAGTTTGCATGATTTTCACAAACTTGTGTGGACATGTGAAGCGCACATGCGCTAGCACGGCTGACCCTCTTGTGCACATGTGCTAGCCAGGTTGACATTGTTGGAGAACGGCTACTGGTGTCCTTCAGACACGCCTTTTAAGCAGGCACTCAAGCTGGCCCATGATCATTTCAAGGCTTGGAAGAAGCTAAACAAGGTTCAATGCAGCCAACCACGTTTCACACCTTCAAGTGTTCCTTTCCAGCATCAATCTTTGCATTGCACTAGCGCGCAGGTTCCAAGTGTATGTGGAAATTGTATGTGCGTGCATGTTTTGGTGGGAACAATATTGCTGCAACCAAGGTTTTGTATCAGGGTGTAGAACCCTATATGAACCACAAGATGTACAATGGCCGAGTTCTTTGTGCCTGGCTGGCAAGCTGTGCAGCAGATCTAGTACAGCACAACCCAACAGAGGAGAATGTGCTGATGTGTGGATGCCTGCCATGAGCTTAGGAAATTTATGGTTTGACTCTCACTCTACCTCTCTGTCTCACTTCCCAACTAGGGGGAATACTTGGTCTTTGATGTGATGCTTCTGAGGGTTGCGGGCAACAACATGGTGTTAGCCATGGAGAATGCTGGACGCTATTTGTCTTCCCCTCAGTGTGGTGGAATACTTTCTAGGGTCACTTCTAGTAAAGTGCTCTAAGGAGTGAAGATGAGGCCATGAACATCAAGAACCAAGGGTGCCGATATCTCAATCTCTACAAAAGCCTGAGTCGATTGACTTTGAGGCACCACCCCAACCTTGCCTCATTGTCTGTCTCCAGCTCCAATATCCAGCGTCCATGCATCGACCGCTAGGCGAGGAGTCTTGAGATGGGTGTTGATCCCCAAAACACATGTGCCTTCTTTGCACCTAGCAATCCTGCAAACAAATTCAAAAGTTAAATACTTCTATATAGATATACCCTCCAAGGGCCTACACCATCAGCTTCTTGAAATGGTGGCAATGCGCATCTCGGACTGGATTCGAACCAGGGCTGAAGCTCATGATCAGGCTGGCCCATGATGTGTGTGAGTGGTGGCTCAGGCTACAATGCCCGGTTTCAACATACAATGGCAGACGAGGACCTAATGAAGTACCTCAAAGGAGACTTGATATCGTTTAAGTTGAGGATGTCAGTACTGGAGAGATTTGAACCTTCCCCAAACACTCAACTCTTAAGGATTGAGTTTAATAAATGTCTTTTAAAAAATTTGAAACCTAGCCAAGGCTTATGCAAGAATAGCCACCGAAGCACCCTGAGCCGTTCCATATTGCAAAGGTCGCTATTGCGAGTCAAAGCAGCCAGAAGATTGTATAATGTTCGCAAGTTTCACTTGAAGCGTGAAGTCCGGGCCAACGTGTGAAAGAACACGTGTGGATGTCAGAAAAGCGACGAGCATGTCATATTTTGATCGATCATGTCAATATAGCGACGATGGGGATTTCAGCGATCGACTGCTCATACCGCGGTCGAATGATCCTCTGGGACATGTTATTATCCCTAAGGGTCCTGGACCAACTGTTTCTCGATGTTTCTCAGATATCCTGCTGTGACTCCTGCTGTGGGCATCAGTTGCGACCATTCAAAGCGGATGTACTTTCACTCACCTCCGTCGAACGTCCGAAAAGGATGTATTGAATATAACTATGTCACTATCGAGGTCACCCAACATCCGCTGTTTTTCCCTTCGAATGATAATACTAAATTCTAAAGATATTGATGCAGTTTACAGTGGTTTCAGAGCATAGATGGCACAGACCTCAATATGACCTTTAGAATCTTTAGATAGGGGTCACAAAAACAAACCGAACTTGGGCCCACCGATCTTCCTTACTAGTTGAGGGTGGGGTGAGACCTATCTCCGCATTGCAGTTTTGCAAAGCAGGTTTCGGAAGCCTAATGCCGATCTACCAACTCTTTGCTGCCTATTATGGAATATTTGCCCATTGACCCCTCACACCCCAATGTAGGTTAATATATTTCAGCCCCATTAGTCGTGTCTGGAACTGCAATCCCAGAGTCTCTGTACACAAGTGGCAAAATCTGCATTCGTCTCCTCGTTCGCATCCACCCGGCCGCCTCAAGTAACGGCATGGGATGCAGTCACCACGGATGTGGAGCGCTGCCTTCGGATCCATCGGCGAGCAACGATACGATGCGTCAATGCATGAGACGCTGTTGAGCCATGAGAAGCAAAGCGGTTGGGCGCGTAGCTCACATTCATTGCAGCATTGGCATGTCGCAGAAGCGGCAGCATGCCGTGACCACCGAAAAGACTTTACTTCGAGTGATCCCCACCGTGACATTAAATCATTTGTATTGTGTATCGTGTGTTTGTGGCTTTGTAGTGTGTTGTGCGTTGAGGTCCGGTGCTGACCACGAGGTCCGGCAGAGCCCACTGCGATCTGGCGCTTGCTGTTGAGGTCCGGCAGCGCCCACTGCGATCCGGCACTTGCTGTTGAGGTCCGGCAGCGCCCACTGCGATCTGGCACTTGCTGTTGAGGTCCGGTAGTGCCCACTGCGATCATGCACGTGCAGTTGAGGTATATCCCATTGCGATTGAGGTGCGATAGTCAAAACGACGAGGAGAGGAGAAGAGAAGAGGAGAGGAGAAGAGCTTTGATAAAATCTAACAACCCTCACCTGGCAGGTGGGGAAAAACAAAACGTCCGCAGAGTCAACCCAGTGAATGGCATGTTATACATTAAACACAAAAAAAACACATTGACTTTCGCTCACCTCCGTTCGGCCCGCAGCGCGATTTTGGAGACATCATCCTGGTCGTCCTTCTATCCAAGTCCCAGACACTCACTCGTTTGGACCGGCACATTTACATTCATCCCAGGTCAACCACCCAAATGTATAGTGGGTTGAGAGTGGATGGCACAATCCCCAAGTGAGGTGGTTTATATGGAGCCCTATATAAAAGACCTCTTGGGGTGCCAGTCCCATCTACTCTCAATCCACTGTATGCGTAAATCGTCCAGTCCCAGACAAATCAAGTCTGGGAACCAAGGAGCGCTGAGCGATGTCACACGCCCAAAAACCACCCACCCGGTGGAAGTCCCGCCCCCATCGCACCCAGAGGGAGTCAACCAAAGATGGTTGGTTTGTTGAGGAATATAGAAGTGGAAGGAACTGGAAAGGGATGGAAAGGCTGTTGAACTGCCAATGATGGGACGTGGGACGGACCTGGTTCGGCAGTTGGGGAGTCACAGGACGACTCTTGAACTGCCGTGACTCATGCGTCATGCGACTCAGTCGTGTCAGTCTTCACCCTCCGTCGGTGGACTCTGCGGACCACTTCGGACGCGTCACGACCGGTCCGCTGCGGACGCCCCGTGACGCGGACGCAAAAAACCGGTCGCACTCATCGACATCTGGACGGTCCTTTTTTTCCCGTTCGCGAGATAAAAAGGGAACCATCTGCTGTGAAACAAGGGAAAGCAGAACCTGGAAGAGACCGTGTACACCACTTTGTGGAGATAAAGTATGATCGATCTCGTCGTATACGGTGTTTGGTGGCTTTTTGCAGGTGTTGCCCATGTTTCTACCGATACGATTCCATCAGCGAGGGCGTCAGGTGCTTTTAGGATGTCATATAGAGAGGTTCATGAGAGGTTCTTCAGCACAAGTGGCCAAAAGGAGGCCAAGAAGGATGAAGTATGCAAAGGAGCAAAGGAGGATGAGGAGGATGAAGTCCTATTCAGATCGGTGAAGATCCAATATTAATTATTACACTCCTCAGAACTTGCGAGGAAGTAAATCTCGGCGAGGACGCTGTTTACGAGGAAGTTGGTGACCATGTAAATCCCCCGCGAATAGACCACAGACAGGTAAGCCCAATCAGCAAACGAGGAAGGCCAGAAAATGCAATGCTCACTACCGAGGAAGTCGAGCGCCCCTGCATTCCCGGGGATCATTGAAAAATGACCAGGGAGATACACTTCCAGGTAAGCCAGGGTTGCTTTACATTTTCATAGGTTGGAGCCAACAAGGAAGAATAACAGCAAAATTAAAACTTCTTGGTTAGGCTGCAAAGTGACTTCCTGGTTAGGTTGGTTGGGGCATGCTTTAAAGCACTTCCTCGTAAGTTCTGGAGAGAGTATTAGTTTCATGTTGTTTCCTCAAATCTTTCGGGGACAGGTAGGAACAGAAGATACCCAGACGCGACCCTGGTCCTTCCTAAGTAGGGGCCGGACCCTCCGTAAGTAGGGGTCCGACCCGAACCAATCCTATAGGTTTTGAGGGACCAGTCGGGCTGTTAGTTTGGAGCGTCTGGTTTATATATTCTGATGGTCTGCACGAAGAGTCGCACCTGGACGATCCAAAACGGAGAGTTTTGTTGAGAATGAGAACCCCAGGTTTCTGGGGTCTTAACAGTCGCCAGTCACCCAAAAAGAGAGCACAGCATTTGGGGGGGACTGAGCCTTTGGGGAGCAGAAGTTGCAACGCTGCGGCGGAGAAAACACTCGTCCAACACCCTATAGACCTCCAGTGGTTCAGAATGTATGACTGGACCCCACCCCAGTCTCACCTTCACCTTCACCGAAGGTACGACAGGGTCGGCCAAACGGGACATGGAGTGGCTTCCTTCCATCCAGTTTCTCGTGGATGCGATGTTCGAGCCGACTTCCTCCAAGGATAGCGAGCGGCCGCTCGTCGCCCCGCTACCTAGGACCTATAGAAGTGATGGCCTCCAAACCTAGAAGTGATGGCACATGATGGCACCCTGTCCTCCATGGAACTGCTATAGGACATGGTCTTTCCCTTTCCTCCACATAATCTCTCCGGTCCGAACGGTCTCTTCTGCGACACGGACCGTGTTGGCAGAGACTCACCCGGCCTCTGGAGACGTCACCAACGGGAGCCCGGACAACAACGGGAGCCCGGCAGAGGTCTGACCCGAACAAGAGATCCCGTCAACAAGAGGTCTGCCTAGGTAGGATCCATAGGGCCAGAAGGTGGATAAGTGGATCCATAGGGCCTATACCCCAGACTCCAGTCGTTACCTTCTGAGATGGTGGGACTGTGGCGGGTGCCAGGTCCAAACACCTGGAAGTAGGGGGTATTTGGAGGTTTGGGGAAGGTTCACCCTTTTCCACCGTTGGATTTGAGTGCGTTGGGAAACCAATCCCCCCGAAAAGGTTATATAAAGGAATGTTCAAGGTTGTCCGCTGACTAGGATGGATATCAGGCCCGAGATGGGACACCTCTTGGAAGCTCCTGGGGGGTATTGACGGGTTTTCTCCTGTGAGCCACGGCCCTTTGTGATAAAGAGAATTCCCAAAAGGGTCCAGAACCATCCATGGCTCGGATTTCCTGTTGTCGGCCCCAGTTAGACCCTTCCATAGAAATACAACATCCTTCTTAGAGATACCTGGATCCAGCGGATCTCCAAACTCAACCAATCATGGGAAGAAACCATTCAATAAGATCTCAACACATGAATACATTGTCCAAGTTAAGAGATGTAAGTTGATGTAAGACATTGACATGATATACAGATCATACCAGATATCATCAGATATCCAAATTCCAAATATACCCTCACTGCCAGGTCTTGCATGGGTTGAGGGGCCAATGCCCAGGTCGTGGTTGGTTCCGAAGACTCATGGGGTCCCTGTTCCGACGACCTGGTCGAGTTGAACCTCTACCCAGACGCTCATATGGAAGGGTCGGACCCTGATCAAAGGAAGTTTAGTGTGCAAAACTTCCGTGTTACGGACATTCAACAACTGTTCAACCACCACTCATCATACACCACTCATCAGATTTCGTGGCAGGTGCAGCACTTTGTGAAC